AAAAAAAAATGGAATAAAAACTGAAAATCTTTCATACCAAAAAATTTAATTTTTTCCGGAAGAGGGGAGGGGACAGTTCTATTTAACTGGGCCTCAGAAAAGGACTTACCCAACTTCCGGGTGCTGGCTTCAAACTTTTCAAGACATCCTGCAACTCATCTTTCTCTTCGTAAAAATAGTTGTGTTTAAAGTTTATCAACGGCAAATTTTTATAGGACTGCGGCAGATAAGAAGTTGATGGTGGCAGTGATTCCAGGGAAGAGAAATCATAATCCCTGTCAGCAGGACAAGGCGGCAGCGAAATTAAACAACCAAGAACGTCCCCTTCGGCAAATCCACCAGTAGCATAATGTTTACCCTGAAACTGGAGCGAATAAATGATTGGCTTGTTATGATAATCAACATTTTTGATTTTTAGGATAATCAACATACGTGATCTTCATGATAATCAACATTCGTGATTTTTTTTTGATGATAAAATACACACAAATGCATATCATGTAATTGATAAGCTTACGCATCCGTACGATTATTTCAGCACTTAATCTATGTCCCGACTCTGTGTGTTAGTCGCACTGTCAACACTTTCGTGCATACATTAAATACTATGATAAAAATGCAAAAAATAGCGAAACTTTTGGAGTGCTGCCATCGTTGGCAAATTGCTATTTACGACTCTCGGGTTACTTGCGAGAGCTCTCTCTCTCAGAAACAACAAAGAGAAAAAAGACCAATTCCCAACAGCACTACATTTGATAAAGACTGGGTGAACGGAAGTCAAGGATGTCTAAGAGTAGTAAATTCTTATTCCAGTAACTCATAAAGTTTTTTGCTGAAATTTTAAGAATGCGAAAACAGTATATGTTTACCTTGGCTTGATGAAATGCAGTACCTTTAAGGCTTCTCCAAGCATACGAAAGTTGAGTGTAACCAACACAGGCCTGTACCGGTGCTAAAAAGAACATTTCAAGACTCTCGTTCAAGATCACAGCGATTTAAGGTTCTGAACCATAAAATCAAAAAAATGCTAACCAAGGGCCTGACTCCATCCGATCCGTATGTGTGAATCCGGAGGTTGCGCAGTAAAGATAACTTCAAAATACCAGGTACCATGGGAAACTGGATGGGTGGCACGTGCAACACAGTATCCTTCAAATCCACTCACTGATAATCGATCTTCCGATAATTTCAACTGAAAAGGAAAATAAATTAGACATTTCTCTGGAACGGTAAAATCCTCCTTCTGCATACAGGTCACCTACCGAATGTGGAGATGTGCCATCATTACAATTACCTAAAAATTTTTAAAAGGACGGGCTTCTAAAGGAGATATAAGCTAAAGCCGCTGAGCTAAAATCAACATAAAGTCAGTGTCAGCTAAAATTATAGATGAACTAAGCCAATAAGTACCTGATAAGCGCGATCATTTGGAGAAAGTGTTACTGTTGGATGAACAACAACACGATAAAT